AACTAAAATGTTATGAGATTGCGTTTATTTGGTTATAAGGATTATTTACTTTTCTAACGTAAACGCTTAGACATACATTTCAGTTTTTACACTGTGATAGGTTGATTGGCAAATCCATTTCAAACTCATGCCATTCAAAGGGTGTTGGCTGCATGTCATTATTTCAGAGTACTTGATTGTACTTTTACCATCTCTTGCTATTGGTATACGTTTACTCGATGAAAATGGCCGTTAGCTCCCAGGAAGCCTACTTGCTATCCATAATGCATTCTCTGTGGAAAAACCGATCCATTGCAGTCATACTTGGTTTAAAGATTCCTGAACAACTCTGCAACAGCGAAAAGCCATCCATGAGTATCGAAGAGATCGCTACAAAGTCAGGTTGTCAGTCAATTACGCAGCTATACGCCTTGATGAGACTTCTCGCTCGATGGGGAATCGGTAGAGAGCTTGAAAATAAGCATTTCACTAAGAATGAAAGCATGGAAGTGTTAAGACGAGACAAAGGTCCAAGTGTAGGTCATGCGTTCGAATACTACTGTAGCGAGGAGCATTACAGTGCTTTGAGGTCATTGGGGTCGTGCGTGAAGCAAGGCAAACCTGCTTTTATTCTGGATCACGGAATGACTCATTTTACTTACATGTATGACCTGGTAAAATGCTACGATCAATCAAAGATGTTTGAAGGATCGTCTGAGCACAAGATAGGAAGCGATGATCGCAGAAGGGAGTTCGCCGATAACTATTCCAGTGCCATGTTGCACTTTTCACATCTGGCAGCACCTTCAGATAAAACTGGTGTGAATACTGTTTACAATGTATTTCCCTGGTCAACATGCAATAAACTGGTGGACATCGGAGGAAGTTTGGGTGGTTTTCTTGCTTCCATCCTAAAATTGCCAGGCTGCGAACACATCCAAGGATACGTTCTTGATTTGCCAGATGTTGTGCAAGAAGCCCAAGAAAAGATTCAAGACCTTGGTATCCCCAAGGGTCGCATTGAGTTTGTTTCACAGGATTTCAACAAGCCTTTACCCGCTGACCTTGACTTGAATGCTGACACGGTCATAGTGTTCAAAAATACACTTACTATGTTTATCAACGATCATAGCTTGATGACTACGATACTGATTAACTGTCAAAATCTTTTCTCAAACAAAGGTGGACGGCTTTTGATCATTGAATTTTTGGCCTCCGTAGACGAAGACGACAAAGTGGGAATCAATGGTCTTGAGATGGACGCACAATCAATCCTATGGATGRRCATTTGTGGCTCTCCCCAATTAACCAAGAGAGAGTGGATGGAGCATATACAGGTGGTTGGTAAGGAGTTAGGCTATCAACCGGAGCGATTCTATGACACTTTCGTTGGAGGTCAAGCTATTTTTGAACTGTCGTACAGACCCAGTAATTAACTGATCAAGATAGTCTGACCAGAGTTAGTAGAGGGGAACTTGACTAAGCTAATTGTTTTGCACTCTAATTAAATGGAAATACAGTTGAACTGCACTTGTACCGGATAAATGTGATTTAGTTAATAACAATATGTAACTTCACAGATAAACTTGTTAAAACACGACAAAACTAATTACTCGTGACCAGGCCCTAGGCCTGCGATGTATACCGTGTCTACGCTTTTAAAGATTTGTCAAAAATTATTGTATATCTAGTTCCTTCAAAAGCTGCTAAATTTTGCATGAAAAGTAATCAACAAGGAGTTACTTTCACAAATTTTACTCTTAATATATTTGATATCAGTTCCTATAGTTGAACTGCATGCCAATGGTAGATTCTTTACATCTAAACCAGACCCGTTTAGAGCGTCAACTCGGGCGAGACAGTATATTGCAGTATATTTACAAGAGAAAAGTCAGTAAATGAACTCAATTTGAAAAAGTACTGAAAAAGACAGCAGCTTTTCAACACCTTTAGGGCACGAGTACACCCTGCTGTCAGGGTCTAGTTACAATCAGGTTTGTGTTCGCAATAGGCACATTTTTTATGCCTTTACGCTTACCTTAAAACATCGAAGTATGCAGTCTTTTTTAATGGTCACCATTGCTTAAAATTCTGTTGCACGTTCACGTTTTGCAATGTTGTTAGCTGTATCTTTTCGGACGACATCTGTTAAATTTGTAACTTCGCACAAAAGGCTTCAGCAAACAAAGTAATTGAATGATCTAATTKCTCATTTAGCATTGTGACGTCACTAAAATGTGAGCAGAAACCGCTTACCAAAGACATCGCCTTACATGTACTTTGCGCGCGAAAGAAATAGAAGAATGCATTGGCACTCCCATTATATTTCCATTATAGATTAGCAACATCGATAGAATTTCTTCTTTTGAGTTTGTAACTCCCTACAACGGTGTAACATCGATAGGATACTTCTTTTAAGTTTTTGACTACCTACGGTGTGCTATCGATTTCTTCTTGATGCAGCAATCTCAATAACTCATTAGCGTTGTGACGTCACTTATTGTGAGTTGAAACCGCATACCAAAGGCATCGCATTWCTTTGTGCCTTCAAGAAATAGTTCTTGATTCTTTGATTATTGGAAGGGTCGACTTCCAACTCGTCTGGCGAATATATGTCCGCAAACTGGACAAGATAAATTTGGATTGATGCGTGTAATACGCTCGGCTCTAGCATCGCTAGCATCCCGGTTCTTTCCGGATGCGGGCTAAATCACTTCAGCACCATTCTTCACACCATAACGAATTGATCTATTCAGTCCGTCGGTGATTAACMAGTCATCAGAGTACACCCTTCTAAAGTGGAAAAAGTGCCTTCAATGGTCAATCTTGCGCAGCTAACGGCTATCAAACTTGCCTTCTGAAACAACCAGGCAACCAAAATGAATTATTTGAGCTATGACGTCATGTAATTTGATTTAATTATGACGTCATTATCATATTTGATGTAAAAATCCGCGCMCGCAGTTCCCGTAGCCGCACCCTCGATTATGATAAAACACGAATGAAAAGTGGATTTTAACATGATTGTCCTTTCAACTTTCAAGTTTTTGATGTTTGCTGTGTTATTCATTTCTTGAATTGCGATTGAAAACGACGAATGATTTCATTTGATGATGATATGGGGGTATTTTGCGGGTTTCGCGAAGATTCGCGCGGAAATATTCGCGCATTAGTTTCCAGTCTCCCGTCACGTGAACAGACGGCACGTTCACATGTGCATCAAATAGACAATAAGTCTGAAAATTTATAAAAATGGCCTTATTTTTGCCATTTTCAGGGACAAAAATTGACTTAAAAAGTCTTAGAAGTGTTCAGAAGTACTCGAAGAACTACAAGGTAACGAAAAAGGTAAAATATTGAGATTTAATGGTGAATTTCTGCATAATTTGTTGCGGTGTCTCGTCGACAGTAGAGACCTTAAGCACCAGGACTTTTTGCGACGACGACGTCGTGAGAGGACGGATTTTGTTTCCGGTCATGCGCAGTTGTCGTGTTTTTGTTTTTGGCAAGACGTCGTCTTGCTGGCGCCGACGTGAAACAAGCCATTTTRACGTCGCGAGTAGACCGGTAAGTTTATCGCTGTTTTTCTCACTGAATTTTTAAGAATTCTCAAAGTTTTAATAAAATTACTTGATTTTCATTATCAAAAGTGTTTGTTTTAGTTCAATTTTCACTCACAGATACAACAACTGCAAGAATGAGTCTTGTTTTCGTCTCAGAGACCAAAAAGCGGTAAGGTTGAAAGGTTTTGAAACATGAAATTACTAAAAGTAAACAATTGTCAAATTGCTTCAATCTTATTACTTTCTGATTATTTTACTTTATTTTTGTCGACTTTATCTGATGTATTTTTGAAAACATTCCCACAAACAAAACAAATATGCCAACTTTGCTTTGTTGTTGAGCAAATTTTTTTAAATTAAAGTTAAGCTTACTTTACTAAAATTACCCGCGGGTACAAAACAGTAAGAAATTTAAGATTAATAAATTACTATAAATTAAGCTTTACTGTAAAACTACAGTTTGGTAGACTTGCTAGCTAGGCCTTGTCACTATGAAACGTTTTGTGAAATACAGTATATTTGCTTTTTATATTTTGCTTTTTATCACGTAAGAAAATTGCTAAAACAAATTTCAAGACTGACTATTTTTAAAAATGCTGTTAGTTAATTTAAGTGGTTGTTCAAATGGCAGTTGCAATAAGCATATCATTAGACCTTTTTTATTTACTTGGTTACTGTTTCTTTAGACAATCCATGACTTGGASTGAAGAGCACGACAAACTGTTGTGCAGAGAAATCCTATTTATTGACCCATTCACTGGGACAAAGAAGGGAACGCCAGCCAGGGGACAGAAATGGCGAGAGGTGGCAGATAATCTGCTAGCCGTCGATAGACCAAGTTTTACTTTCAAACAATTCAAGTCTGTAAGAGACCGATACAACCTCCTTGCAGATAAGTTGAGAGCAAAGTTAAAGAGAGAGAAGAGGGAGTCAGGAGTGGATACAGAAATGTCTGAAGTTGAGACTGCAGTGGAAGAGCTAATTGAACTTGAGGATGCATCAGATGCTGAAAGTGCACTAAGTGTAGCACAGAGAAGACAAATAAATGAAGATAAGGTAGYGGCAGTTGGTTGTAGAAAGCAAGCAATGGAGCGTTTAGCAGAGACCTCAAAGAGAAAAACAGATGAGGATGGAGAAGTACAAACTGGAATTAAGAAGAAGGCAAGAAGATCAAATGGTAGTGATACTCTGGTATACTTAAGAGAAAAAAATGAAGTTATGACAGAGCAAAGGAAAGAGGATTTAGAATTAAAACAAAAGGAGCTGGAATTGCAATCAAAGAAGCATGATGACTTCATGAAGCTTATGATGTTACAACAACAACAACAAGCTAAACAACAACAAGACTTCCAGGCCATGATGCTCTCTGTGATGTCCAAATTTGCTCCAAAATAGTAAAAAGTTCTACAATTWKAACACTTCCAAGACACCTTTTGTACTATTTATTGTATTTATTGTGAGCATATTTTTTCTTGGTGTCTGAAGATTGAATTATATTTGCTGTAATTTGCACAGATTTTATAAAATATTGTATAATGTAGTATTTTTATTATTATATAATTGTATAACATTATACAAAAATCCATTTGTGCTTGAAAACTTGGATTAAAATGTRTACCACATAATTGTTATACTATTTTGTATTATTTTATGCTTATCCTTTTGTTTACAAGCACTATTTAGTAATTACAGGTAATATTTTGTGGTTTTTCTGAAAGCACTCAATGCAACATCTTTTTTAACATTTTTTTTTACATGACTCAATAATTATTCTGATTTTGGTAGAATTTTGCATACTTCTTTAGTAATGTAGCACTTGCATTAATTTTAATATGCTACTATATAATGAAACAAGACTACTAAACAGCATTGAACCATGGATCTCCCTAGCTAGTACGATGAACACCTTTACCCATTGAACAAAAAGAAACTAACAGTCTATTATTTTGAACTACTTGTACATATCATTCAGAGCAGTTTTCATGAGACCATGCATCTATCTCTTGCATTGAGATGTGTAGCTAAAACATTCATATGTACTGTAAAAGACTGAATCAATGTAGACCCCAACAAGTTACTAATAGCAAATAATGCAAAATTTGTATAACTAGGGCATGCATAATTAATAAAATAAAGATTGATAAACTAAAAAAATAAACAAGAATGTCAGTCCAGGGTATCTATCAAATAATTGAAATCTGTTTGGCACTGACAGCTGTTTCATTTGTTTATGAAAATTCTATTTAGTTAAAATATTCATGCAACATTGGAGGTTCAAAATCAAAGAACTGTGAGGTCTGATTTCCATAAAGGCATGTCAAGGCATTTCTTAAGATAGCTGCTACAATGTAATACTTTCCAATAGAGCTTAGTTGTATCTTTAAATTCTTCTTGAAATCCAGAAATTTAAAGTACTCCACGATGTCTCCAAAAAGCCACTCTACTGATTCACGAACGGTGCTCATTGAAGTGTTGAATGCTTGCTCTTGAGGGGTCAATCTTGCATGCTTGTATGGCGCTAGGAGATGTACCCTTAAAGGATAAGCAGGATCCCCATATAAACACATGGGATTGCCAGTTGTTGAGAAGGCATGTCTTTGAAGATCATTTAACAGCTGTGATTCTCTCAGCATACCTGCATCATGTTTCTTTCCCTCTACGAGGAGAAATTTATTTTATTTTATTTATTTTAATTCAAACCAACATCAGTGAGGGACAATTTAAATCTGGTATTTACCAGATTACATGCAGTAAAGCAGTTTCAAAAGATGAAATAAGCTAAGTATAAATATTTAGTTACAATCTTTTACATCATAACTACAGATATTGTAATTAACTAGGAATTATTAAATTTGTATACATTTTAATTAAGGGTGTATGAAAAGCAATGAGTCCATAAAATAGAGTTTATTACATTAAGGAAAAAAGAAAACAATGATATGTTATGGTTCAAAAGTGATTTTAGACACTTACCAAAAGGACCACATAGATGAGCTATCATGCCAGAAGGTAAGGTAACCGACTGGTACTTAAGAGCATGAACCCTCTTGTGCCCATTGTACACAATCCGCTGATTTTCACCTGGACGACATATGGGCCTAACCGTACCATCTATGAAGCCAAAACAGTTGTCCAGTGCTGAACCTTTCTGTGCTATAGAGTCTGCATACTGTTCTAGCATTTGGTTGTTCAATAAAAAGTTATTCCATTGAGTGATTCTGTGTGCATGAGTATCATACAGATAATCGATAACAGTATTGGTGATCATGGACAGAACAGGAACTGGCTTGGCGAATCGAGGAATCATGTCACTATACCTGGTCGGGTAAGCAAAGCGCTTCAAAACACAACACAAGCCCTCAATTCCATTGCAAATACTTCGTTGTGGACATGTAAATACATCAGGTATATCAAGAGCATCAGCTAGCATGTGTATATCATTTTTCTCAACACGAAATTCTGCTTTACACTCGCTTGGGTCGATTGTGTCTAAGTCAAATGGCTCGTAATCACACGGAAACGAAGGATTTTTTGAAGTAAATTGTTCCCATAGAAGCAAGAATTCATCGTCATCTATATCTCCATCATCATATGAAATCAAAAGAGCATCTCTAGTGTCTTTAAAACTGGCCATGTCTTACAAAAGTTGCCTCACAAAAGTTTGTTTACATTTTTGACAAGTGCCGCT